CTGGGTTTTTTGATAGTTAAAAAAAAAAAAAAACAACTGAACCTGGGGTGCCTGGGTGGCTCAGTTGATTAACCATCTGACTTCAGCTCAAGTCATGATCTCAGGGTCCTGGGATTGACCCCTACATCGGGCTCCATGCTGAGCACAGAGTCTACTTGTCCCTCTCCTTCCCCCACTGATGCTCGTTCTCTCTCTCAAACAAATAAATTAATAAAATCTTTAGGGAAAAAAGCAGATAATCTTTTGATCTAAGGAAGGCTAAACCTAATGTTTTCATTAGTCTTAAACCAACTGACCCCAGCATCAACATATTCACCTCCTCGCTGTGTCTCTCTCTGTCAAATAAATAAAATCTCTTAAAAAAAAAAAAAAAGAATGAGCGGGGAAGCTGGGTCCATTTGAGAAAGACCCTGCAATGCAACCATGGATGTAGACAGTGACTCTTCCCCTATGCCAGAAAAACTGGGGGCCATTGATCCGGGGGAGTTGGGCACTGGCCAAACATGAATCGCTGCCGTGAAGGAAGTCAGGGCTCCTGCGTGGTCCTGTGATATAGTTCAGAGGGACCTGGATCATTTGAGTTTCTACAGAGCATCACACTGCTCCACTTCATTGACAGATTTGTGTTATTTACTCAGATACAGTGAAAAGAGGTAGCAAGCACCCTTGATGATTCAGGAGGAAGGCGTGTGTGCCAGAGGGTGGGCAATAAGCCCCCCCATCATGTTGGTGTAAATCCTAGGGGCCCAGAGGTCATGGGCATGTCCCCCAACAGTAACCCCCCTGTATCAGCAGAAGAGACTTTCCAAAGCCCTCAGTGGACGTCTGAAACTGTGGGAGTACCAAGCTCCATATGTACTATGTGCCTTTCCTGTCCATACATACGTATGATAAAATTCAATTTATAAATTAGAGGCACTAAAAGATTAATCACAATGACTACTAATAAAATAAGATACTATAATACAAGTTGTGTGCATGTGGTCTCTCAAAGTACCTTATTGTGCTGGACTCACCCTTCTTTGTGTGATGACAGGAGATGATAAAATGCCCACCTGATGGGGTGAAGGGAGGGGAATGACGCAGACCTGGTGACCAGTGTTCAGCGAGTCCTGGTCTTCTGACCATATGTCTGAAGGGGGATCATCTGCTTCCAGACCACAGCTTACTGCAGGGGTGGGGGAGGGGGTACCACTGTACTCCTTCTGAGACAATTTGCTCCACCTTTAGAAAAAAGGTCCCTTAAGATTTGGACATTCTGTTTTATGTTTGCAAGTGTCACGTTGCCACACGGGCAGAGACGCGAGGAGGAAGCAGTGGATTCACCCACAGGTTCCACAAAACAGTCCGAGAACACTAGAGCCTCGTGTTCACAAACTAATCCAAAGAGTAGAGAAGCAAACACATGAGAGGGGGGAGGGTCAGAGGGAGAAGCAGACTCCCTGCTGAGCAGGGAGCCTGATGCGGGACTCGATCCCGGGACTCCAGGATCATGACCTGAGCCGAAGGCAGTCGCTTAACCGACTGAGCCACCCAGGCACCCTAAGATTTTATTTATTTGACAGAGAGCACAAGCAGGAGGAACGGGAGAGGGAGAAGCAGGTTCCCAAGACTGCCAGTTTTGAGTAGATCCTAGAGTAGGAAGGGACTCGAATGAAAGGCATGTGACCCAACAGACCCAACGTCATCAAAAGCTTCTGTGATATAAAGAGATAATAGGATAGTCACAGTGAGAAACTCAGGGTTTGGGAGCAAATATACGTCTCCTTCTGCAAATAACTGTCTTCCATTTAGAAAGCAGCTCCTGGGGCACCTGGGTGGCTCAGTCGGTTAAGCGTCTGCCATCAGCTCAGGTCATGATCTCAGGATCCTGGGATTGAGCCCTGCAGTGGGCTCCTGCTCAGTGGGGAGCCTGCTTCTCCCTCTCCCTCTGCCCCTGCCCCCTGCTCATGCTCTCTCTCTCTTTCTCTCTGTCAAATAAATAAATAAATAAAATCTTCGAAAGCAAGCAAGCAAGCAAGCAAGCTCCTGGCTCCTTACTATGTCCCAGGGGAGTCTACATACTGGACTCTGGGCCACCAAGGGCATCCTGACCCACACTGCACATCACATACGGGGCATGCACAGCAGCATCCATCATCCATGGGAACGGTGTATATGGTGTGTATGGGATCAGGCTCTCGCAGGTCCAGAGGGCACAGGCAAATGTCTCAGTAGGTGGCTCAGATGCCCATGGTGACTCCTTCTACTGCCTCTTCCTCTGCTTGCACCTGTGGGTTCATGGGGATACCCTGTGATCTGTTTACAGCAAAGGGATGGAACAGACCAGGTTTATGCACAGATCTGTACGGCGGGCTGGTGCCAAGCAGTGGGTAGCTGCTGTTTAGCCCTGCACTCCTGTGGCCCTGAATGACGTAGGGAAATCCTTCAGGTGGCTAAACATAGTCACCGGAGGGCCTCACCGAGGGCCACACTGTGGCAGCGGATCAGCCGGAACGGTGAGGCACAGGTGGGAGAGAGCCTGCTGTTTTCAAGAAGGATCTGCCTGAGAAGGGCTCATCAAGAGGATGGGGTGCAGCCGGGACTAGGGGTGATTACAAGCCTTCCAGGTAGCCGGGGTGGGTGTGGGCAACCAAGGGAGAGCCATTCCCAGCAGAAGGAACAACGGGGCAAGGCCAAGGAGGCAGGAAACGCCTGGGCATGTCTTCGGAATGGCTGCTGGGGGGAAGCGGGGCCTGGGCTGATCAAGTACCTGCGA